CTGGAGTCCATCCGGAGCCCTCAGTGCCTACCCAGGGCCAGAGGGAACACCTGCGGGGGCAGCCTCAGCTGGACTCACAGCCACCCCCTGCCTGGGTGGCATCCAGCCTCAGGAGGAGGAGTGCGGGTACCCATAGTGGCTGTGGTCTGTCTCGCCCAGGGTCACTGTCAGTGACAGGCTGGGCTTCCGTTCCAGCTCCTCCTCCTTCAGGCAGTGATGTGGGGGTCGGGCTTTGAAGAAGTCTGAGATGTAGCCGACCTGACAGAGTGGAGGAAGGTGAGACTGGGCAGGGGCTGGGCAGGCACCAGAGACATGGGCATGGGCAGGAGGGGGAGGAACAGGGTCCCAGGTGGGCAGTGAGAGAAAGAGTGCCTGAGGAGGGAAGAGATCCCTCTTAGTGGAGAGCACTGGGGTGCTGACAGGCCCAGGGAAGGGCTGCAGTGTGCAGGCAGGAGACCCAGGGAAGGAACTGGGGGAAGAAGGTGTCCAGGGAAGGACTGGGTTTAGGCAGAGGGGTCCCAGGGGAGAAATGGGGGGAAGGGAGGGGCCCCCAGAAAGGATTGTGGTTGAGGGAAGGGGTCCCGGGGAGGAATGGGGAAAGGAGGGGTCCCAGAAAGAACTGGGGTTGGGGGAAGAGGTTCCAGGGGAGAAATGGGGAGAAGGGAGGAGTCCAGGGAAGAACTGGAGTTGAGGGAAGGGGTCCCAGGGGAGGATGTGTGGGGGGAGGGAAGGGTCCTGGGATGGACTGACGTTGGAGGTCCCAGACAAGAAATGGCGGGAAAAGGGGGTCCCAGGGAAGGACTGGGGTTGGGGAAGGGGTCCCAGGGGAGGAATCAGGGGGAAGGAGGGGTCCAGGGAGGGACTGGAGTTTGGGGTAGGGGCCCCAGGGGAGAAATGGGGGGAAGGAAGGGTCCCAGGGAAGGACCAGGGTTGGAGGAAGGGGTCCCAGGGGAGGATCTGGGGGGAAGGAGGGGTCCAGGGAAGAACTGGTGTTGGGGAAGGGGTCCCAGGGGAGGAATCAAGGGGAAGGAGGGGTCCAGGGAGGGACTGGAGTTTGGGGTAGGGGTCCCAGGGGAGAAATTGGGGCAAGGAAGGGTCTCAGGGAAGGACCAGGGTTGGAGGAAGGGGTCCCAGGGGAGGAATCGGGGGAAGGGGGGTCCCAGGGAAGGAGGGGTCCAGGGAAGGACTGGAGTTTGGGGTAGGGGTCCCAGGGGAGGACTCCGTGGGGCAAGAGTGTGCAGGGAAGGACCAGGGTTGGGCAGGGAGTGGTCTCTGGACAGCACAGGGGGTGAGTCAGGGTCAGATGCTCACAGTGAGGCCAGCCATCAGCACTCCCTGCAGGAGGCCAGCAAGGACGTCGCTCCAGTGGTGTTTGTGATCAGACACGTGGGTGTAGCCCACATAGAGGGCAAAGGCCACCAGGAAGAACTGGACCGTGGGCCGCAGCAGCCGCGCCCACTTCCAGCAGAGCCGTGCCTGCACGTAGAGCTGGGACGGGAGAGGGTGTCTCAGCCTGTGCCCTGCCAGGCCCTCCCACACCCACAGCATAGATGGCAGCTCCGAGGCGGGAGGCACAGAACCGGCCAGCCCAGGGCATCCTGTCTTTACAAACAAGTCAGTGAGTGCCCCCATCACCACCACGACCCACCCATTTTACAGCTGGAAAAACTGAGGTCCAGGGAAGGGAGTGACTTGAC